CACACCTCTCCAGCTGGCCAAAAGTGCCCTGAAGGCATTCAAAAAAAAAAAAAAAAAAAAAAAACCATCATCTGCTCAAGCTTCCCAGGCTGGGGCCCTGTAAAGAGGGCATTCTTCCTTACTGTGCTGGGTACCGTGCTGGTCTTCTGCAGGGTGACGTCCCTGTGTGGAGTGAGCTGTCTGAGGCACTGGCAGTGCATTACCTCCCTCAAGAGAGGGAGGCAGCTATTTATAGGGCGTTGTGAAAAGCTCAGAAAGACTTCATTGAAGAGGCAGTGTTTGTACTGTGTTGTCATTCAATTATTCCTCCAAGAAAAGTTTGTGAGGTGTTGGCTTTGTGTCAGAAATAAGGACATAGAACAAGGAAAGCAAGATTCACATGGTCTTTGCTCTCTAGGCCCATATAGTCTAAGCCCTTTGAAGGAAGAGTCAGTTCCAGGGCAGGAAGTGAGGGCAGTGTTGGGACAGGAGTCACTTGAGTGCCTAGAGCAGATGGTCAGGGTGGTGTGCCCCTTGGGCTGGCCTTAGTAACACTGAAGCTTGGCTGAGTGGCGCTTCGGGGTCTGGTCTGCTTGGCTGAGAGTGTTTATTACCTTAGGTCAGAGTCCTTCAACTTCAATGTAAGTTCCACACAGCAGGGCTGTGTAGCCTGAGACTAGTCAAGTGCAGCATAGGTGCCTAGTAAATACTTGATGCATAAAATACTAAACAAATTATCCAACTGAACCCTCACAGCATCCTCAGGAATAGATGCTTTTACTCCCTTACTTCCAGCAGAGGAAGCTAAGGCTTGCGTGGGTGAGCTAACCTGCTCCCCAGGTCCTACAAAGGTGCATGTTGTGCCAGTTGTCCGTTCTCTTAGAGCCAGGCCAGTTTCTGGCTAGGAAAATAGCAGCTAACCCTGCTGTTGAAGATACAGATCTGCTCTTTGCTGGGGGTGGGTTGGCAAGTGACAGGCAGAAGACCAGAGGTGAGGCGTGCTTCCAGGAGCAAGAATTACTGAGAACAGTTGGGATGGTGGTGCATGCCTACAAGACCAGCCCCTAGGAAGCTAAGGCAGGAGGATCACCATGAGTTGAAGGTGAGCCTGGACCGTGAGTTTAAAGCTAGCCTGAACTACATAGTGAGAACCTATTTCAAAAAACACACTTTTATTTTTTTTTAAATACTGAAAACAAAAGTGGGGGCCAGGGTGATAGCTCAGCAGCATAAGCACCTGCCTGAAAAGTGTGGGTTTAGGACACTGAAGAAGGGACAGCAAGTACTGGTATCAGTGTTGGGTGAGGTGGTGCATGAATGGCAGTGCTCTTAGATGGCCTCTTCCTTTCTCCTTGCACCAGTTCCCAATGGCCCCGTGGAGTCAGTCACCCTGGAAAACAGCCCACTGGTGTGGAAGGAGGGACGGCAGCTTCTCCGACAGTGAGTATGGGGGCTGGGATGGGATAGGCCAGGCCATGATACATTTGGCTCAGGAGATAACCCCAAAGACTCTGCAGTCCTTCCTCTCCCTGCTGGGGACATTGATCTCTCAGGATCCCAACCAGCCGCAGCTGGAATGGCTTGTTATCCTGGGGTGGAGCCCCCACTGGGGAGAGGCTGGAGAGGGAAGATTTGCTGCAGTTGCCAGGCTTGGGGACACTTGCTCTTGGAACACATATTCCTTAGTGCTTCTGTGGCACTTTTTGAAAGACAAGTTGTGTGTGGGGGGGGGGCTAGAACCCAGCGCCTCAGGCATGCTAAGCGTGTGTTTTTATTGCTGAGTCAGCCCCAGCCAAATGATGATGATGATCATGATGATAGTGATTACTGAAGAGATGCTTACATTTTGAAAAACATAGCAGAGCAAAAAGAAAAGTAAAAACACTCATAATTCTACTGCCTGAGGAATTTTATAGCCCATAAACATTTTTTTTCATAAACAATTTGATATGTGTATTGTTGGTCTTTTACACATTCCTGCCAGCCTGAACCACTGGTAATACGGGTCTGACTGTCCCATTGGTGTCTTGTACCACTTGATGGCACTATTTGTTGTCACTTGATGGGGCAGTAATACACATACCACTGGGGTTCAGGCCTCCTGGCGGCCAGACATGAAGTATGGACTGCCCATCCCTTTCATGACTGTGTGTGTGTTTGTGTAAGTAAAAACTAGGATTCCCCTGTTACTGTTCTTGCATTGCTTTTGCTAAGTGTTATGGACGCCTTCCATATAAATTATTTATGTTGTATTTCATTGAGGTGGTTTTTTGAGTCTTCCAGTACTGCAGACAGTGTAACAAATACCAGGCTGCTGTCCTTGACTTCCTGAAGTGCCATAGCTGGAAGTGCACCTGCCACCATTAAGCATGTGCAGACAATACTCCTAAATGACTATGAAAATATTGATGGGCCAGGCCAGGCCGGGTGTGGTGGTGAACCACTGTAATCCCAGCACTCAGGGAGGCTGAGGCAGGAGTACTGCCAGGAGTTCAAGGCCATGGGCTGGAGAGATGGCTCAGTGGTCTAGAGCACCTACTTAGAACAAGCTTGGCAAGGCATCAGGGACCGCGGTTCAATCCCCCAGCACCACATGCCAGCCAGCCCCGCCCCCTGGTGGGCGGAGCTGGCCACACACACACACACACACACACCTCTCTCTCTCTCTCTCTCTCTCTCTCTTTCTCTCTCTCTCTCTCTCTCTCAAATAAAAAAAAAAAAAAAAGGCCAGCCTTGGCTACATAAGCAAATTCAAGGCCAGACTGAACTGTATAGTGAGACTCTGCCCAAAAAAAGGCAAAAAAGAAAAAATGATGATCACGTGGGCCACACTCACGAAGTATCTTTTTTGTGCCTGGTCTAGTGCCAGACTACATTGAGTTGTCTTCTAGTCCCTGTCTTTTGCAAAGAACATGTAGAGTCTCCTCAATTTCATAGGTATTGGAAAGTCAAGATTCAAAGAGGGAGTCTGGCTCTCACAGGGTACCAGTTAATATGTCCAGGTTGGGGGGCGCCTCAGGCAATCCACCTCACAGCCCCCTTCTTAGCTGCCACACTCCCTGTTCTCCTGAGGGGGACAGCAGCCTCACCTGCACACTGGTACCTGACAGATGAGACCAGCAGAGGGAGGCAGGCGGCCTCTCTGGTGAGAGGTAGCCTCAGCTCCCCAGGCTCTGGTGAATGGACTGGGCTTCTCAGCCAGGCCTCTCTGAGAGGCAAGGAACTGTTCCCTTATCTTTTGAAGACACAGATACCCATAGTTGCCTTTTTATTCTTTTTTTTTAATTGCAGAAGCAATGAATACTCAATTGTAGAAGTAAAGAAGATGCAGAAGGGCCTCTATATCCCCAGGCCACTAGATAGAGGTCACTGCTACTTAGGATGTGTCTTTAGAGGCCTCTTGGGGGCATGACACAAGTGTGTATCTGTGTGGTATAAACCTGTACACACCTTTTTTTTTTTTTTTTTTTAAGATTGAAAACTGAAATCCCATGGAACTTGACATTTTTATCATACTGTTTAGCATAGCCACATCATAGCTTTCTGCTGTGGTTACTTTGGAGTTATAAAGCAGTTTGCTGTCACAGTCCTGTCCTTGGCTGTTGAGGTCAGCCCCATACTTGGGCTCTTGTCTGCAGTGTGTTGGGGACACCTTGAGCAACAGTGATTACATGGATCAGGGCTTCCATCAGTAGCAGTCTTGAAAGTGTCACAGGCTGGGATTATGGAAGACTGGTGCCTGCTCTTGTGTGGCCCCTTGGAAGGTGGTGGCAGTCTATGTCCTATGGTCTGAGAAGATGCACAGGGATGTCTGACCCGCCTGGCCCTGGCCCCTGCAGGTACCTCGAAGAGGTGGGCTACACGGATACCATCCTCGACATGCGGTCCAAGCGTGTGCGCTCCCTGCTCGGCCGTTCTCTGGAGGTCAACGGGGCTGCCGAGCCCAATGAGGGTCCTCCCAGGGCAGCACCTAGTCCTGGGAGCCTCAGTGGCGGCGAGTCCCTGCTGGTGAAGCAGATTGAGGAGCAGATCAAGAGGTGAGCCCTGAGCCTGGCAGGTACCTCTCCCCTGGCTTCATTTCCAGCCCCGACTCCCCAGGCTCAGGCCTGTGTACCCCTCAGCAGCAAGAACATTTACTGAAGGCAAACCCTGGGTGGCTTCCCAGGATATGTCCAGAAGCAGGACATATTAGTCACCACCTTCTGAAGGTCTCAGTTCTTTTTTTCATCAATGATTATTATTCAGCTGAATATATAATGTCATTATTAGGTGGTGCTAGTGTTGGAAAGAACATCAAGAGTGACAAGAGCTGGGGGAGCGGGTGCATGCCTGTCGTGCCAGGACTCAGGAGGCTAAGGCAAGAGGATTACCAACTGTTCAAAGCCAGCCTGAACTATATAGAAAGACCCTGTCTCAAAACAACAAAAACAAAGAGGCAAGAAAATCACTTGAACCCAGGAATCCATGTCTAGCAGGACAACATGGCAAGACTCCCCTTCAAAAAGGGCAGGGTAGGTAGGCAGGCCCTCTGTGAGGAGGTAACTTTTTGAATGGAGGGTAGCTAGATGGAGCATGTTCCATGCAGAGGTGATAGTGAGTGCCTGGGCTCTGAAGCAGGAAAGGCCTGGTATGCACCGGAAGCTGGGGTCAGCAGAGGGCCAGGGGGAGCATGTGGCCTGTGGTCTGTGGTGAGACTGGCTGTCAGGAGGCAGATCGAGGAGGGCTGCCCTGGCAGTGATAAGGGCTTTGGGTGATAACCTCAAATGACATGCCTATCATCCTAGCATTCTAAGACTGAGGCAGGAGGATTGTAAATTTGAGTTCACTTGTACTCACCCCAAAATAAAAAATAAAAATGGGCTGGGGATGTAAGTGCACAGACCCTGAATTCACTAAATAAATGTCATTCCACCTTTGGGGCTGTGGGAAGCCATGGGTTTGTGGCAGAGGTGTGACATGACCTGCCATGTTGATCTATTTTGAGGGGAGGCTAGAGGTAGGGAGGCTGGGTGGGAGATTTCTGCCGTGTCTAGGCAGGGCTATTGGAGAAGTGGGAGAGAGTTTCTCACTAAATTAGCCAGCCTGGGTTGTTCAAACTTGAGATCATCCTACCTCAGCCTCCCTAAGTGCTAGCATTATAGGTAGTTGCCTCATGATGTTCAGCACTGTTTGAGAGATTGAGGTGAAAGAGGGTGACTCCAGAGCTTGGTCTGAGTCACTGAACAGCAGCTCCTGAGGAGGGGAGTTGGAGGGACCATTGAGGTTAAACATGACTGTGTACACCCACATGGAGATTGCATAAGCTTGGGGGTCTTTGGCACCTAAACCTATCTGTGGTTCACCAGCACACAGCTAGTTTTGGAAAGCCACAGGACCGTGTACAGTCACTGAGGGAGTGAGTGTAGACAGCAGGGGAAGAGATCCAAGCACAGGACCTGGAGCCTCCTGCACCTGGAGGCTGACAAAGGGAAGAACGGGAGGGTGCTGTTGCTGAGTGGCTTTGGGGAGAGGAAGCCCATCATGACGTCTGCCTGACTGGCAGTGAGTGGAACTGTTCCGTGATGGAGCCAGGAGGCCAGAGCAGCAAGTGCTGGCCCAACAGCCAGGGCCAGGTGGGTGAGTCCATGGTAGTCTTTGCCAGTGGTGATCAGCAGCACTGGCAAGAACTCTGGGGTGACAGGAAGGAGGTGTCGGCGTCCACCTGCACTTGGTTCCCACCCATGTTCTACTGTGGGGTCAGAGTTGGTAGACATCCCTAGAGCACTTGTCAGGTTGTAGACTAGGAGGCAGATGCAGGAATGCCAGCCAGCTGCGGTGTGGTGCAGGCACCATGGAGTGGCTCTACTGGTATGTGGCCGAGCATTTGGGGGTGGCAGTTCCTCTTTACTGGGGGCAGCTCTGCCTCTGGCTCACCTGCCACTGAGCTCGTGGTGTGGTCTGTCTTGTTTTTGTAACTGGTACATTTTAGGTCGCATTCATCATAGAGTTTGTACCTGTACCTGATAATATTTTGCTGCTGCTTCTTTTCCTATTCACCTCTTCTCCTTTCAACTCCTTTGCCTTATTTACAAAGCTTTTGTTTCATTTTTATTCCTTTTTTTCTCTTGTCTGTTCTGGGTGGGCCAGAACTTGTGATCCTTCTGCTTTAGCCCCCATGAGTGCTGGGGTTAGAAGCACGTTTTCCTCCTGAGTTGGTCTTAGTGGGCAGGTATATTTAGGTTGGGGGTGGGTCTTGTTCTGGATGAGGCTTCCAATGGGTTATGGCTGGGTTGACCAGTCCAGTCAGAATCAAGGCTGTGGGTTCAGGGGCTTCGCTGAGTCCAGGCTCTGCTGTGAAGCTTGGGTGCCGTCTCATCTGGGCTTTGTTGCCTGGCAAAACTAATGTCCCATCTGCACCCTTGTTGTGGGCAGGAATGCAGCAGGCAAAGATGGCAAAGAACGTCTGGGTGGTTCAGTGTTGGAGCAGATCCCCTTCCTGCAGAACTGTGAGGATGAGGACAGCGATGAGGACGACGAGATGGACAGTGTACAGCACAAAAAGCAACGTGTGAAGGTGGGGTGTCCGTGTCCCTGTCCATCTGTCGCAGCTGGGTCCCCTCCTACAGCCTGGCTCTCACGTCTGACTGCAGAGGTGCTGATCTCACTTCTGTCTTCCTCTTGCCCTGGCACCCCAACACTCTACAGCCTCCCCTTCCTCAGCTCATGCTGTCCTAAGGGCCATTTCTTGGCCCAGCCCCACCCCACCCCATACTCACTGTTGTCTTGCCTGGGTGGAGTTGCAGGGTTTTACAGTGACTGTTGGTCTCTGTCTGCTCCTCCACCACTCAGGGGCTTTGTAGCTTTGTGTTCATTGGAAAGTGTGCCATAAAGTAATTTTTAAAACATTAAGTTAGTTATTTAGTTAGTTATGGTGCTATAGATTAAATGCAGGGCCTTTGTGCTGCGCTGCATCTCTAGCCCTTGTTTTTTATTTTGCCCAAGGCTGTGTTCCAACTTTCGATTCTCCTGCGTCAGCCTCCCAGTATGCTGGGATTCTAGGCAGGGACACTATACCCAGCTTCTCCATAAATATTTATAAATAGAATGAGTATGACTGGACCCAGTGTTTAGCCTGGGAGTTCTGTAGGATGTGGGTGTCCAGGCTGCTGATCCAGGCCTAGGAACTCTGCCCTTGGTGTAGGTCCAGGGGACCTCAGTACAGCCTCCGTATTTCCCACTAGGCCTTGCCTGCCAGGGCCCCGTGCCTCTGCCATCACCAGGATATAGCAGGTTCCTATTGCTCTGGTGAGCAATAGGGTATTTCTGGGAGAGCTCTGTGCAGGCAGCAAGGACAGAGACACACAGGTCCAGGCCCTTGGAGCAGCTTGTGTTCTTGTCAGTTCTTGTGTGTGTGAGGATGGCAGTGGTGCAGGCAGAGGCAGAAGTCTAGGAAATAGAGGGGATCCTTGGGGGTTTTTTGGAACTTAGCCTTCCAGTGGTGACCTCTGCTGGGACCCTCTGTCCTTCCCCATCTCACATTGGGCCCCCCTTTCCTGGACCTGACTGCACTGGTGGTGGCTCTGTACCCTTCTTATACAATCTCTCCAGTCTGTCCGTCCGTGTCTGCGTCTGTGTGCCGCCGCCCCCCAACCCCCCCCCTCCCCCCCAGCTCAGGATCTTGCCCTGTGAGGCCTTTGGTCAAGCCCTAGAGGATGATTAGTGGAGACACGGTGTTTTGAGTCAGGCCTCTAACCTTGCTCCCTGACTGGGTATCCTGGTCCCTCCTGCCCCCTGGGGGATTTTTACTATTTTTACTGTTTTTCATGTGTTTGTTTCTCTGGGAAACTTGTTCTGTTTTTGTTTTTTTGTTTTGTTTTGTTTTGTTTTGTTTTGTTTTGTTTTGTTTTGTTTTTTTTTTTGCAGAACCGGGGATTGAACTCAGGCCCTTGTGCTTGCCAGGGAAGCGCTTATTCCACTGAGCCATCTCCCCGGCCCCCTTTTAAAGTTTTTTTTGTTTGTTTTTTGTTTGTTTAAAACAAAAATTCCAGGCTGGCCTTGAACTCAGTGTTCCTTCTACCTCAGCCTTCTGAGTGCTGGGATTATAGATGTGTACCCACTCCCTGTGATCACTTTTTTTGTGCTCCCCTAGCTGCATATGTCCCTTGTGCTCCTTGGGCGGGCTGGCTTATGGATATGGTGTCTCCCAGGCTTCTCTGCACACAGGAGACCTGTGGCTTAGCTACACACGCAGACTGTGACCCAGGAGACCTGCCTTGTCTTTGGTTGGATCTACACTGAGGCCACCTGGCTCTGGCTGGAGGACTTGATGAAAATGAGTGGATGTGTAGCAAGGCCTGTGTTGCACAGTGGCTGCCCAGTTAGGAATGCAGCTGGATGACTCTTCAGGGCTTTTGTGACTGTTACCCTCTCAGAGCTCCAACTCCAGCTGGGCCTTGGGCATGCTACAATGTAAACCTTGACTGGCGCCTCTGCCCCACTCCTGTGGTACCCTGCTGAGGGCCAGTTGGCTCGGGAGAATCAGGGTGCTGAAGCTGCCCTGGGTGTGTGCCAGGCTGGGACTTGGTGACTTGGGGTGAGGGAGTCCTTTACTTTGCTCAGTCTTCACCATTTATAAGAGGCCAATCCCTACAGGAATAACAGTGGCTTCCCACAGTCCTGGAGGTCAGGGTGAAGCCAGAATGCAAAACTCACCCTGCCAGGGTCAGTTGCTGTCATCTAAGCAGGGAGCCTGGCACAGTGTGGCCACACCACCTTCACTGTTTTAATCACTGCTCTGGTGCTTGAGACACCAGCTCTGCTCTTTCACCCTTGAAGTGTGCATTTCTGCATGCCCCCTTGCACATTCAGGCACCATCCATCTCCTCTCCCAGGTTGCTGTATTACCTGACTCTGAGAAGCGTGTGTTGGAGAGCACAATGATCTCAGCAGAGTCCACAGCCCAAGGGGTCTCCACAGCCAAGCTGAGAGGGCAGCTCTGCCCCCATCAAAAGCCGTTTTGGGAGGTTCCTAGCCTGGGTTGCATCACAGTCCCAGCTGTTACTCAAGAGCAGCAAACTGGTAGCCAAGGCAGAAGGGTCTGAGGGGCATAAGAGGGCAGGAACCCGAGCTTACCTGTTCCTGGGGCTGAAACTGGGTGGGCCTGGAGCCTGAACACAATGCTGGTCTGGTCCATACTCTAGCTCCCATCCAAGGCCCTTGTTCCTGAGATGGAGGATGAGGATGAGGAGGATGACTCTGAGGATGCCATCAATGAGTTCGACTTCCTGGGTTCAGGAGAGGATGGGGAAGGGTCTCCAGGCCCTCGACGCTGTACCAGTGAGGGGAACCCTCACGAGCTGGGTGAGTTGGCTGTCTGGTCTTTCTCCTTGAGGGTGAGGTGAGTCCAGGGCCTCCCCTTTACAGTGCAGCCCCTGCAGCTGCTTCCTGCCCAGTCTCCCCACCGGATGGACATGCTTCCCGAGAGGAGAGGCCCGAGGAGCCTGGAGGCTCAGCTGGCTACCAGCCCCTCAACCTTCCCTGGAAAGTCCCAGGTCTACAGGGAGGGTGGATCTTCCTGAGGCTGAGCCTCCAGGCTGCTACAGTGAGCAGTCAGCTCTGGTCCAGCCCAAGGAAGGAACAGGATGAGAGCCTGGTGGGGAGAAGCAATGGGGGAGGGTGTCTCTTCCCTTTTCCTGTGCCCACCCCTGACAGGAGGGCCCACAGGGTCACATTCAGTGAGTGGGGGGGAATGAGGCTCAGGGAAGGATATGCCCACCACCTTATGGAATCCCTGTCTGCCTCGGTTTCCTCTGTCTCCTGCCTGGTAAGAGCTTCTCACTGCCTCACAGTTACAGCCGAGCCTGCTGCAGTGTAGTTGAGGGTGGGCACAAGATTGGGCTGGAATTGGTGGGTGACTCCTGCTATGTGTTTCATCCCTGCAGAGAGCCGTCGAGTCAAACTGCAGGGAATTCTGGCTGACCTTCGGGACGTGGATGGCCTGCCCCCCAAAGTGACAGGCCCACCTCCTGGCACACCCCAGCCGCGGCCCCATGAAGGTAACCCCCCATACCCCAGACCCTCGGGTCCATGGCAGAGGAGGCTGCAGAGCTAAGCCCCAGGCTTCTGTGTCTTCTGGGGCGAGGCCCAGCCTCCAGTCTGCAGCCTCCCTTGTCCCAAAAGTTCGTCTGTCTGTCTCTGTCTCCCTCTTTTTGTCTGTCCTGCCCTGTCTGTCTCTGTCTCTTCCTTTCCAGCTGTGATTCTCGGTCTCGTCCTTTTCCCCTCTCTTTCTCGCTTCTTATCTCCCTCTCTGCCTCTCTCTGCTTCTCTCTCTCTCCCCGGCCCTTTCTGCCCCTCCCTCCCCTCCCCCTACCAGGTTCCTTTGGCTTCTCCTCAGACGTTTTCATCATGGACACTATCGGGGGCGGGGAGGTGAGCCTGGGGGACTTGGCAGATCTCACCGTCACCAACGACAACGACCTCAGCTGTGATGTAAGTTCTTGGAGTGCTCCCGTAGGGCATCACAACTTGCCGGCCCTTGGCAGTCTCTGACCGTGTTGTGCCAGGCTTAGGCTCAGTCCCTTTCGTGTGAGGACTCTGAGGTCGTTCCACAGCCCTAGGAGGTGGCTCTTCCTGCTCACCCCATTTTACAGCTGGGTGCAAAGCAGACAGTGGAGGGACCTGGCCATAGTCATGGAGGTACAGAGCCTGCAGGACTTGAGCCTGTGTCTTACAGTTCACAGTTTTGGTTTCCTGTTCAACAGACCTCCCACCTCTGGTAATTTGGTCCCCAAGCCAGAGCTCCCCCAGGTCAGGCCAGTCTGGCACGAATAGGACAGTTGGCTGGAGTGAAGGAACCCTGTAGCCAGGGCTGTGCACTGAGCAGACAGGCTTTAGCTATGAAGACCCCTTGGATAGGCATGTGTGTGTGTTTTCCTGAGTGGAACAGGATCTCAGGTAATGGTGGCCCCAGTGGGGCTGGGGACACAGTATAGAAGTGGGGCAAGCACAGGGTCTGAACCTGGAGTGCTGTGCTATGGTGTCCTGCAGGCATCCCAGGTGTCACTCCTCCACCCCAGATGTGGAGGGAGCAGGAGAGTCACACAGCCACAGATCCTCTGGCTCCGAAGTCCTGTGGCATGACCTGACAATCTACTCATTGCATTTCAAAAACCTGCCCTTCCTGGGGCCCCCACTTAGCCACCAGGCTCCATTGGGGCTATGCTCCATTAGGGACATCTGCAAAGGCTGGTGGTTTGCTCCCAGATCTCCCCACTCACCTGTCTCAGCTCCATAGCCAGGTGTCTGATCTCAGTGTCTTCCTCTCTCCTGGGCTGCGTGACCTCTTATTCTGTCTGCTGCTTTTTTCTTCTTCTAATCCAGGCCTCCCAGGGTTGGCCAGAGCCAGCCCTATCAGTCTCCTCTGAACCCCTTGTGATCCCTCATTTTCCTAAGGACTTTTCTTAGGATGCAGTGCAGATTTTTGAATGTGGCTCAAACTTCAGCTTCTGTCAACCATTCTGGCTTCATCTGCTGCTGTCCTGGCTGTGTGCATCTCCTGTCTCTCAGAACCTGGCCCCTGCCCTTGCTGCCTCCTACTTCAGAGCGTCTGCACATGCTGCTTTCTTCTCCAGTCCCCATATACTCCCTCTGGTTTGGATAAGTTCTCCCTTTCACTGCCTTACGAGAGCCATTGTCCCCACAGAGGAGCCAAGCTGCCTAGTGTCCTGTGCCCTTGCGCATCTTTGGTTTTAACACTATTGGAGTTCTTGAGCCTATGCACTTAGCATTTGCTTGTCTCCCCCAAATCCCCTAACTTCAAGAGGCAAGGTTGAGGGCCACCTTTATCTGCCCAGACTATGACACCCTGCAGGAACTTGCTGAATGGGCACAGAGACCCCTCAGACCATGAAGGAAGGGGTAGATTAGGGCCCATCAGGGCCAGAGCCACTCTGCAAGGACAGAGCCATGGTCTGGGTTGGGGAGAGAGAGGTCATGAGGCCCAGCATCAGTATCTCTGTGACTGCCAGGGTGACAAGGGGACGCTGAGGCAGTTCTCTTCCCTCCAGCTGTCTGACAGCAAAGATGCCTTCAAGAAGACATGGAACCCTAAGTTCACCCTGCGCTCACACTATGATGGCATCCGCTCCCTGGCTTTCCATCA